CTGAGACGTCCAGGAGGAAAAGATCGCACACGCACGCAATGGTTCGCACATGTGCCCGCACGCACGCACGCACACACACACACACACACACACACACACACACACACACGCGCGCGCCCGCAAATACACACAAACGCATGCACGTACGCATACACGCACGCACGCACGCACACATACACACACACATACACACCATGATCCTACTGTGCGGGTTGGCAATCCCCTACGGGACAGATCAACATGGTACTAGTCACTCTGCTGCATACGTGGCGTGTTCGGCCGCTATTCGAGCGGAGGGTCCAGTGACAGGTGGAGCACTCCAGGGGCTGTGCCGCTGGAGTTAAAACATCTGTCTAATAACATTTGTGCGTAGTCTTCCCACTAACAGACGTAAAGGTGACCTGCCAGACATGGTTTTCCCAGCATGGCCCTTGTCAAACCACAGCATCATGGCCCATGTCAAACCACTGCTTATCTCCATAGCTGTTGTTATTGCTGCTGCTCCTACTCCTGCCCAGGCTGGCTGAGGGAATGAGTTTGATCATTGCTGCACTGATGGCTTCCCCCAGCCCGCACAAGATGGAAGCCAGTGGCCACGCATACTACACTGAACAGACGAAGGCTTGTCTCCGACCGGTTTCGCATGCCATGTGAGCTGCGCATTTGTGCCGTGCCATGTAACGGGCTGTTACAAGCTCCGACCGCAGTGTCAATCAAAACTGGATTGTTCATTTTCTCAGTACTGGTATGGTGTGCACAAGGAATAGCTGTACAACATGCCGACCTCCAGGTATCCGCCACTTACCGTACTCATTTGATTAGAAGCCCCTCTCGAATAAAATCCCCTCTTGAATAAAATCCCCCTCTTGAATAATAGCCCCCCCCCCCCTCCAAGGACTGTTTGAAAAAATACATGCCCCTCTTGAAAAAAGCCAGGACTACTACGTGCGAAGCATAGGGTGACCAGGTAGTGCCATATATGGTAAGGTCAGGTGCGCAAAACATCTCATGCATGACTTTGTCGACGCAATGTGTGCCTGACTAACTCAGGGCTGAGTTGCTGTCGATATGATACTTTTAGAGGTTTGATTTGAATACTGGTATGGAATGAAAGAATAAAAGCTCATCTCAAATAGAAGCCTCTCTTGAATGGAAGCCTTGTCAAAATTGGTATTGAAAATTAATAATAGAATCCCCGGCTTCTAGTCGAGTGAGTATGGGTAGTTGCATCTGGCACAGTCCGTGACATTAGCCACGTGGAGGCTGTAGTGATGTAATCATGTACATATGTATAGTGTGCGCATGCGTGCATGCTTGCAGTAGAGAACTCGCAGAGCTTGAAGACGAAGCCTGCAATGGCTACCTCCAGGCTTGCATTGTTGTAGTGTTGCCCATCTACATTGGCGCAGTGAACAGGTCAAGATGACAACGAAGGGCAGAGTGCCCAAGGATTTTGTACCCGATTACGCCGGCGACATCGGGGCCGATTTTGAGCTTTGGCTCGAGGATGTCAATGACTACTTAGCAATTTGTAATGTTTCTACTGCTGCTGACAAAAAGCGTTTATTTTTGAATTTGGCCGGACTCTCAGTTCGCAAAGTTGTGAAGGGTCTGGTTATTCCTTCTCCGCCAGCAAATGATGATGGTTCTCCTGGAGACGAGTACGTAGCACTGACGGACGCCGTTCTGGCGCACTTCCGTCCCACCATCAATACGACGTCAGAACGTCACAAATTCCGGCAGCTCAAACAAGGGCCGGAGGAATCCGTCTCCACCTTCGTTGGCCGTTTACGAGAGAGAGTGGACTTATGTAAGTTCAGGGCGACGGATGTGGACAGCGTGGTTAACTCCCAGGTGCGAGACCAGTTGGTTGCAGGTTTGAAATCCCCCGAAGTTCGTCGCGAGTTGCTCAAGGAGTCCAGACTCACCCTCGCAGATGCCATCACCAAAGCAGTGGCACTGGAGACCTCCTATGCGGAGAGTAAGCTGTATGATCCGCCGGCAGAGCCTGCCAATCAGTTCAGCTCAGTGGCTGCCGTTAGTGCGACCAGACAGCAACGCAGACAGCCACGTACAGTATCTGGTTCTTGCAAGTACTGTGGCCGTACCCATGCTAAGGGAAAGTCGTTTTGCCCTGCAGCCAACATCCGCTGTCGCAGTTGTAGCAAGGTCGGACATTTTGCGGCCGTATGTCAGTCGCAACGCTCTGGATTAGATGCTAACGCCGTCGACGAGGAGCCCGCCGACCTAGCTGACCAGGCTCATTTGGTTTATGACACCGTGTACATGGCTGAGCAGACCGGAACAATCAGGACTAGCCAGCAGATGATTGTACACTGAAGACTTGCTACCACGAAACCTACGCACAACACTAACACTCTCACCGGCACTCTCACCATCACTCCCATCACTGCTCTCCGACTCACTGCTCCCTCCGCCGTCCGTTCCATCCTCCGCTTCCTTTGTACTCTCTCTGTCTCGTCCATCCCGCCTGACCAGGTCCATTGAACTCAACTCAGCCGTCCCCCTGCTATCATGTCCCTCCTTTCGCCCTCGTCCGCTGAGTGCGTAGCTTCTGTTGTAGTTGGCTGTTGATCGTCTTGGTCTTTCAATTATGGGCTTGGATGGTGGATTAGTTGTGGTTGCTGTAGATTGCGTTGTTGGTGTTGGTGTGGGAGTTACTGATATGCAAGGTGGGTCTTTTTGAGTCGGCATTTGTAGTGTTAATGCAGCTGTCAGTGTTGCTCGCGGTCTGCCACTGGCAAGCTCCACCGCCGCAAGAACCGATGGCGGAGGATCAGGAGGAGGCAGTGGGACCGGGACCGCAAGCGGCACCGCCTCAGCCAAAGCCGCCGGGGGCACTGACGAGGGAACCACCGACGGCCGGAGCAAAGGCGGCGACACAAGCCGACCCGATGAGCCACCACGCCCATTCTCCTCCACCGCCGCCACCAACGACGGCGGAGCAAGCACAGTCTGTGAGCCAGGATCCGCGGGTTGTGTAGGCAACGGCTGTGTGGTTAATGGTTGTTTTTTAGGTCGCCCTCGCTTCGGTCTTTGTTGTTGTGCGCAAGGTGGAAGTATGTGACGTGGTGTGTGTTGTTTGATGCGTGCGTTCATTTTATATAATAGTTCAATTTTTGTTTCAGTGTCCTTTAGTACAACGACGATTCCTGATGAGTGTTGTACGAAAACTTGTTTGAATCCATATTTTTTCCCTACACCATTTCTTCATATTTTCATCGTTTTATTGCACATCGTCTCCACAGTTTTTTACACTGCATGAATAAAGTACACAAATGTCGATTCAGCTAGTTTTATTGATTGCGGTTATTTTATTTATTTTTTATTTATTTTATCTATGGATTCCCCAAAGGCCGAGGCCTCAGTCGAGGGGGTCTCCGTTCATGGCTTACTGGGAATAATCTGCAAAATTATAACATATAGATAGATACTTGGTCCTTTTCATCGCAATTGTTGCTTATCTATCGCCACTAGGAACAAGAGTTTTTTTACCACTCTGTAAAATTTCCAATACGCATAGTGAAGAAGCATGACACAGGATTACTGTCCGCCACAAGAACAACATGCAGCAATGGAACCTGATGAAGCAAGTCGAGTAAAGGAAGCAAGCTTATAAAAAAATTGCAAAAGAAAACAGCGACGGAGCGCGTTCTTGCACTCACGTTTTATTTTGTCCGACTCTGGCTCTGTATCACTCGAGCTGATGTCACTTGAGCTGATGTCACTTGAGCTAACATTCGCTGATGTGTCTAGCTGCTGGCGTAGAGTATCTCTTGCTGTCTCCGCCTGGCGTATGGCAGCGATGGGAAAGGAACAGTTGTGGCTGTCACTTTGGCACTTGGAGGAATGTGGGCAGCGTCACCCGTGCGTCACCACTGTGTGTTTCAACAATGTCTTTATATCAGGCACACATCCCTCTCCAGACAACTGTCATACGCTCTGCTGGATACGCTGACCACAACTCTTTTACTGCCGCTGCCAGGTCGGAGACTGTCTTCTTTGCCACCATCTCGCCATCAGTTTGCAGGCTTGCAAAGAATGCCAGGTCGTTGCAGTTCAAATGTGGTGACTGAGCTGGCTGGCACATTCGCTGATGTGTCTAGCCGCTGGCGTAGAGTATCTCCTGCTGTCTCCGCCTGGCGTATGGCAGCGATGGGAAAGGAACAGTCGTGGCTGTCACTTTGGCACTTGGAGGAATGTGGGCAGCGTCACCCGTGCGCCACTACTGTGTGTTTCAACAATGTCTTTATATCAGGCACACATCCCTCTCCAGACAACTGTCATACGCTCTGCTGGATACGCTGACCACGACTCTTTTACTGCCGTGCCAGGTCGGAGACTGCCTTCTTTGCCACCATCTCGCCATCAGTTTGCAGGCTTGCAAAGAATGCCAGGTCGTTGCAGTTCAAATGTGGCGACTGAGCTGGCTGGCCTGGCCGTGACTGTCACACTCTCAAGGTCAGGATGTCGATTTTAACTGCTACAGTTCTGGTCTTTGAGCTGCACTGCACTTGGCTTTTCGCTCCAGTGAATGTGTCCATTCACTTCAGCAAAACGTTCCCCACTTTTCCATCAAAGTCGTAAGAATCGCAATGCCACTTGCGCTAGCCGCGATGGTTTTTTTCTTGCTGGTCTCCTTTGATCGTGCCATCACAACCACCCAAACGAATGTGATTTAGATATCGAGATCGGACTGGGTTTTACCTGTCAAAAGGTGCATGGGAGATAAGCGACAATTGCGATAAAACGGACCAAGTAGATAGATATGTTAGGCACTTCCTACCGTACGTTCTACAACCTTTTCCAAGCTGGCCTCCATATACCCCATACTACGCCGTACTCACCTTTTGTCTCCTTTTGTCACCTTTTGTTCCGTTGGCCTGGGTAGCTACTTGCGTGCCCACATTTGCCATAGCTACCCAGGCCTTTTATCTTGCCGCCCTCACTTGATCAGTCTCTCTTGTCTCTCTATTCCA